TCTCTCTCTCTCTCTCTCTCTCTCTCTCTCTCTCTCTCTCTCTCTCTCTCTCTCTCGCACACACACACACACACACACACACACACACACACACACACACACACACACACACACAACCCTGGCTGAGAGTGATACAACGTCTAAGCAGAAAAAAACCGAAATTCTTGATAACAATTCTTGCTTATTCTGGAATCGAACTCGGGTCTTCCAATTGAGACAACGAAGTGAACACCGCTACACCACAGACACAGGTTATATGTGTGTATGAGTGTACACGAGTATTTTGTGCGTGTGCGTATGCGTGTGTACGTGTGTTTAGTTACTTGTTTAAAACTCTTTGTATATATTACAAAACTTAGATATCATCGTTGATTTGCTTTTAAACACTTTGAGGATTCTATGATTATTATTATGCTTCTATTTCCCATTCACCACAACAGGATAAAGCATGAGAGAAATTCATTTAAAAAAAAAAAAAATTAGATGCCTCTCCCTCGTACATGTATTAGATCCTATTCTGATCCTTTTTTCACTGTACCCTCTTTTTATTCAGATATCAGTGGAGAATTTGCACTCAGATGTTTGGGTGCACCCATTTTTTTCTTGCTTTTTTTTGTTGAGTCTCCTCATCGACCAGGACAAATAACGCCAACCATTTCCTATCCATGGGCAACTAAAACTGATATGAAAATAATAATAATGCCACATGACGTTGCATTGCACCGCCCGCTCCGCTCTGCTTGCAGTGTGGCCACCCAATATTAACGCCTCAAACAGCTCCGCTCTGCTGTGCCCGCTCTGCTCGCAGTGTGGCCAGAGCCTAACTGAACTTACTCTGCTCACCTCTCTAGCTTCAACAGCACAAAGTCTGCTTCGACTATCAAGGCACCCCGGAAATATCGGGTCACAAGAGTGTGACAAACATACAAAACAAGTAGAGGAAAATGACGCTAGTAAGGACTATGAAAGAAAAAGCAGCAGTTCCCTGTTGCAGTTCAGGCACAGTTATGAGCATGGCATTGATAAATCTGCCCATTTACAATTCTACTGTGCATAAGAGCTTGTTAATCAGTCCCCGGGGTTTTATGCACCTCGCATAATTTAGCAAATTTTGATCATTTTTTTGCAAAATTTTAGATTATTTTCCTTTTTCATTCTTTGTTAAAATTAACAGAGCATAATTTCACATTTTTGGGCTGTTTGCATAATTTTAAAATTTTATTTTTTTTGCATAAAACCGTGAGAACGGGTTAATGACCCCCCTTTGGGGACGGCCTAAAGTCTAAAGACACTTCAGTCAGTAGCACTACCGCCCCGGGGAGTCAGCCAAATTCCTTTTGACTTCCAAGTGTTGAGTCAGTGTGAACGAAAATATATTTTTTTAAAGTTAAAGTTGTAATTTTTTAAAATTGTTTTGTTTTTTGGGGGGGTCACCCTGTACTTCGAGTAGGAGTCCACAAGACTGGAGGCGGCTTGAAACATAACATGTAACATTATGACATTCCCCCTTTAGGAACAAGCAAGAAGCTCGACCAATGACCATAAATAAACCGGGCGGTGTCTGAGCTCAGCTGTCACGATGATGAGACTTCACGTTGAGGAGTTTTATACACACATGTATATATAAAGATAATTATTATATTATGTGTGGTGCAGCTGATAGGTGCTTCGCGTCGCACTCAGGAGACATGTTCGATTCTCGTGTGGGTAATATCGAGCGTCCGGTCTTTCTGTTTGGACGTTGTACATGTAATCTTCTCAGACCAGGTTGGCCCAAACACACAGGGTCGAAGCCCGCCTCCTAATTATCTAGACTGTGTCACAGGGGTGAAAAACACACCAGCATTAAAACTACATGTAATGACATAGCATAGCACCCCCTCCCCTTACATATAATATGTAAGTGTATATGTATATATTATACACTTACCAACCCCCCCCCCCCTTTTTTTTCATACACTCGTTTACACGACACGACAATGATAATAATAACAATAACATTAACAATAATACAGGTATAATAATTCATCTCAGTTATAGTTTTTGCTACCGTCAGGCCGCGCATCCACCAAAGGAGAACCGACCCCCGTAGACTTTGTTACATTTTGAAGCACTGATTACAAAAGTATGACGTTAGATTTTTCGTCTCAACTTAGAATTATAATTCGTTTATTTATCCAGGTTTTAAGGTTCAGAGGACACGCACGATCAGAAGTCCTACTTCGGTCTTTGGTAAATGTAGATTGTAGATACGAACGCACTGTTGCCTCCTTTTTCTCCCCCTTTCTCTCACTCACGCTCACACAACCTCCCACCCCCACCCCCCCCTTTTTCCCCCTCACATTCCTCATCGTCATCTCTCATCGTCTCTGTCTCTCTTTCTCCGTCTCTGGAGCTGCTGCTATACTATATTAATATATCTTTGCCGTACTTTTGCTGTCGCTTCTGCTACTGCAACGGCGTCTGCTGCTAGTGGCTTCAGTGGCCTAGATCAAATGGTTAGGCTCTCGGACTCGCAACCGTAAGGTCATGGGTTAATAGAATCCAGTCAGGGGCCTCACGTTGAGTCATTGACAAAGGCACTTTGCACGGATTTTCATCACTTCACCCATGTGGGAATGGATGCCCGGCTATAGACAGTGATAGATCTTATACTTACACATGTAGCTTATAAGTGTTTGAGGGCGTGAAATCCGCAGCTTGCACTGAATCCTTTCCAGGAAGCCGAGAATGTTTCTAGGTTGTTTTTTTAGGGTCTGCTGGTGTAATGTTTGTAAAACGCATAGAGCTTGCTGTAGAGCGTGGATATGCACTCTACATGAATGCAATTTGCTATTACTATTATTATTATTATTATATTACTGCTGCTGCTGCTACTACTACTACTAAAAGTGGTACTACTATCATAACTAAACAGTACATGTAGTACAACTTATTAATATGTAGCTACAACTTATCATTATTATTACTGTCATTATCAGTATTACTACTATGACAACTAAACGTAGCACAACTTAACTGTATCTGCACCTGAATAAAGTGGGAAGGACCTACGGGTGACGCCCTCCAACCACCCACTTTGGATGAGGCTGTGGACAACGTTGTCAAAAAAAATGAAGACTGCACAGGTCAACACAGAGACAAACAGAGGGACGGGGGTGGGGGTCGGTGGTTGGGGATTTACACGTTCGTTGAAGCAGAGATTTCCCGCGTACCACTGGGGCCAGGACACGTCCTTGGTGCACACCTCAGTCAGTTCGTTTTAGTAGAGGTTTTACGGCGCTCGCAACTGCATATGAGCTCAAGAAGATTAGAGATGTTACAAGAGAGTAGCACTAACAAAAATATAAAAAGAAGAAGGGGAAATAAGGACGATAGATGTCTGATACTGATAGGAAAGAAGAAGCAAACCACACCAGAGCACTTGCCAACCACCCACACACCTCAGTCAGGCGCGGTTCGTCTCAATCGATGTCTGGGGGCCAGGGGCCAGATTATTTATCTTTAGTTTACTAGAACAGCACCGATATCATGGAGGAATGCGCTGTGGGCGTTGAATATGTACAGGAATCGTTTTCGTGAAACTGGAAAAGTAA